AAACACTGACTTGTAGGTTGGTCGCGAAAGATAATGAATAAGCCAAAACGCACACAGCTTCCAAGCGGGCAGATCAGGACAAGGGCTTTGATTATTGTACGAAAAATACCGCTTTCATTAGGTATATATGAACATACTTCTCTGTAACGTCGTAAAGCTATCAAGTATAGCATAATGTAAGGGGTATGTCGTAGCTCTTCTAGTGTCATCGTCTCGAGATCAGCCTCTTCTGCCATTTCTAGCAATTTTGGAAGTGGTTGATCGATCCTGAAAAGGACTTCTGAAGAGGCTCTTAGAACACCAAATGTCAACAGGAACTCACCGTAAATCTGGGAGTGCATTTTCTTCGTGATCATTGGCTATAGTGTGTTCTTGCACGAAAATACGAATATAGCCCAGCAGCCCATATGCCCTTGAGCAATTAATCGATAACTAATTCGACAAGAAATGAAGAATTGGGAGAATTTGACATAAACATCTAAAAGACAAACCTAGCGGATATAAAAGGCACACCACGTGCGAACAAAAAGGAGGATATCCTGGTTGCAACTTCCTCAGGTAAGTTGGTGCCGACGACAACAAAAAACTGCAGCAGAAGAGCAAAATCCTCGTCGGATAATTCTAGCGGAGATAAAAGCAGCGAGTGCCCGATGACTGCTGGGTTTAGCTCCTGAAGAGAGAGCATTTTTTTGCTTATGACTAGACGATTTTGGAATTTTCAGAATCGAACCAGAACTTATCCGATTAAGAATGGTCTTCAAAGATTTGGTGGATATAGCTGACGAAAATGTCAACACGGTCTTAGATATTACAATAAAGTGTTCCACAAGCAACTGGCAGTCCTGAGTCAGGAATTTTTCAAAATTTATACACAGTCTCCACCCTTCCCCGACCTCCCTCCCTTCCTTTGGAGATACGCACATGAAGTTGTCATTGGGATTCGAAGGGGCAATTGTAGGCTTAATTAGTATAAGTGTGAAAAGCACTCAATCGTAGTCACGATACCTGTTCAAGGTGTTTTACAAACCATTACTAAGCACTTTTCCCATGCTAGAACCGTTACCCAACACCTCACAAAATTCCTAGGGAGAACATGTGGGGCTTCGTCAAGAAGTGCGTTTGAAGATTAACTACTCGCACCTTCAAATACTCAATTGTGGCATAAGCTCTTGGCCGTCCGATGTCCGATTCTCGAAGGAAAAAATTCTGCCCGAGATCAGGTGTGTCCACAAATGCACTATCCACTATGCACACCGAATGAACACCAGCCAGCACGAGGTTTTTAAGAATCTCTGTCCCTGAAAAAAGCCATTACAAGTGGGATAATAAAAAGCATCAAAGCTCGATCTCACCTAGAGCCGAAGAGCCAAGAACACACACCGAGGTTCGAGCAATTGAACTTTGCCCCTCCTCACCCCAAAGACGCAGCTGACGATCGTAGCGCACTTCATCCATACCACGGGCTTCAAACGAAAAACGACCCGATTTTCAATTAAAATTGGAAGTGAAATCAGTAATACATAGGTAGTAATATCGCGCAGACGAAAATATCGAATCCATATCACTTGTATGCAAGAATTCATTGATAAATGATCACAGATTTATTGTAAAGGCATTAACGAAGGCCACAAGACACCGGTAAATCTATAGCACAAACTATACGCAATATTATACACCGCCTATAAGGTAATACTTCATAGCGTTTCCAATCGTCAAAGCTTCTTCCGTTCCCATTTCTGATTGACAAATGTGTCTGGTCTCAAGTACGTCAACTCATCGTGCTTCGTCTTCATGCAGGCATAGCGACCCAACACAAACAGAAGATCACTCAACCTGAAACGATTCAATGGATTTATACGTTGTTTTGTTTGTTGTTAAAACACGCAATGTTTTCATGCGTAGTAACAACAGGATAATATGCACATTGAGCCTATGCATTAAAACCTGAAACCAATGAAATGTAAACCTTTCTGAGCTGAGAAAACTGGGAACAGCGGGAAACACCAAAGAGCTCGCGCGACTAAATAGCTATTCTCACAAGAAAAGAGGGCAGGGAGAAAGATTCAAAGTAGAAACAAAATAAAGAAAAGCATAGAGACTTGAAAGTTACCCAAATGTCACTCTAAAAGAAAGTTTAGATTCAAAAAAACTGGCCTATTCAGGAACTTCATCGCTTGTGGATCAGCATCCTCATCCCTTACAAGAGGCACCACGCTACGTTCAGCACGACGGCAAACTGCACGAGCGAATTGCAGATGCGCTGAAGTGGGCCCTCCTCCCTTCAACGACACTTTAAATTTACTTAGGAGATGCTAGTGAAGCGCACCACTGAAGCGATTTAACAAAAATTTACCGAGAGAATAAACTGCTGGAGAGGTGGCAACTGGTCTCCAAATCTGTCAATTTCTGCATGGATCCAATCTACCATGTGTGTATCAATATGGGTCATCTCTTCAAAGGGAGAAGTCGCGATTGAATGACTATTATACTGAAATATTAAAAGAAGCTGACAACGTCACACCTTTCTTCCTCTCAGATTTTGTTGCTTGAGGAGGAGTGGCCAGATGAGCTAGGATGTCTTGAAGACAGCACTGAAGGCGAGTGAGAACTTCTACTAGCTCGGGAATGTCGTCCATCACTGCCAATTCGCGACAAACACTAAAACAAATAAGGAGTTGAGCAATGCGTCTTCTTAATGAAGCAACAGCCAGATGATTAAAATCGGATCAATCAAAGTACCTTGAAATAAAATTAGGCTTGTCAATGCTATTAACTTGAAAACGCTGAAGGTGTGACTGACCCGAGCAAGGAGGAGAGTTCGTCCGTGTTGCCCAATGCTTGGAACGCATTATCATCCTTCCAACGGCGCTCGTTGTTGAAAAGACTTGATTTCCCAGAATCACCGGTGCCGCGACCTGCAAAGAAAGCAAAGCGGAACAGATCGAATAATGGGAAGGATTTGGATTTGCCTTGAGTGAATAGTCAACCGGTTGTACCACCTCTAGTTGTGCTCCGGTTGTTTACAGCAAATTCCTCAAATCCTGATTGTGCAGTACGATAAATCTAACGACAGAAGCCGGCGAATTAAGGTTCTACCAACGAAGGCGAGGCAGGTTTCGGAGGACGCGAGTTGAGGCTGGTTTCACTGCGACAGCCTAGAAAGGCCTTACCCGCGGCGGTCTAACTCCTTCGCAACCATACACGCCCACAAAGTGACAGAATGATAAGAGAGGCTGTTTGGATGCTGATACTATTCCGTCACCTTGCTCTTCATCGAAGAGAATTCCGCAATTTAAAATCATTTCGCAATTCCCAGTTTGCCCATGTAAAGCGTTGTCAATCAAAGCAGCCTTTTACTGGCATGATTCCTGCTATAGGAATTAGCAAGTGCTAAGGAACTATTTTGGTTATTGGCTCGATCGAGCGGATCAACGTGCAAATAATGTGTACAATTCTGCAGGTTTCATTCGGGTTTTTCTTTTTCCCTTCACCATAGCACTTTTAATCATCCCTACTTCAGCTTCCGATGAGCTGTGTTTTATCGTGCGATCTGCCTCTAAAGGCAGATGGCACGGTGAAGTGAAGGTCTACATCTACTCTGAGAGAAGCTTGATCCATATAGAGTACGAGCGTGGTGGTATTGTGGCCGAAGGAGCACCGCAGTGTTTTTAGTAAGGCCCCACGCCTGGTGACAGCCACTTTCGAGATAGATCTCGCATCCCGGGTGGCGATCTCGTACTTGGACTGATTGATGATGAGGCTGGGGTGAGAGGGACTATACAAAGTGTGCAAGGTATTCACAATGATCTCGCCAACTTCGTAGAATTTCGTCTATTGAACCGTTTCCTTCGTTTGTTCCCCTAACGCACTATTTGGAACTTCTGCTTTCATTTCTAAGAACGAATGATTTATTTCCTATCCGCCTTCAATTGCGCATACGAAGTTATTACGGTCTTGGAAGTGCAATTTCTCATGAAAAGGAAGTAAATTTCGATTGAGAACACATACTTTTCAGAAAAACTGACCTTGTTTGAAGCCTCGTCCCATGACTGGAGTGGTGCTGATAACACGAACGAGCGACGACACCCTTGTCGGACGAAGCACCAGCAAGCGAAGGCAGTGCCACGCCATATAATAAAAACGAAAAGGTCACGGTTTTCCTGCACATGAGACGATACGAACGAAACAAACATATATATTGTACAAATAACTAAACGAGAAAACTCTTTCATATAATACTGCAAAAATTGGGTGTGCTGCTGCTCAAGTCCAATGAAAAGCTAACAAGTACTCGTTGCTGCGATCGGTACCAGCGACCAATGCAACACCGATTGTCTTTCCAGTGACTACCTATGTCAACGTTTTCCTTGGAAAACAAAGCGTGGAATGTGAACTGCGGAACGGGCCGAGATGTATATATTACTAATGCAATAACATTATTCGGCCTCTCACCCATTGTCCACTTAGTACTGAGATCATGAAAAAATGTCATAAAACGATTTACAGCCGACAACATCAGAGTAAAAACCGTTTAAGCAGTGCTTCAAGAGTTTGTAGTAGGAAGTTTTTGAGGCTTCTACCAAATTTACGCAACCCACGACAGTTCGAAGTGGGCTCTGTACTGGACGACAACCATGTCTTAATTACTGCTCGTAGATATGGTAAAGCAAGTGCTCAAGCGTTCTATCCTTATATAAATATCAATGAACGGGGACCAGATGAACGAACGGCCATTGGTCGAAGACACAGTGTTCCATAGCGACAAACTCGAAAAGTTTTCAGCCTTGATATTCCGAGGTATTGCGTTTCAAATGTGTAGACTACATACAACCATACATTTCTGACTTTAACTAAACTAGGCTTTGCTCACACCTGTTACATTGAGAGAGAATAGGTAAGTGACCAACGTACCTAGCAATCAACCGTCTCCTTATAATTACTTCTTCTCCATCGCTGTATTACAGCAATGCGACACTGAGTGCGAAGAATACAGGATATGCGAGAGAAAGAAACGGATGAGACGGCGCCGACGCCGGGTATGACGAACGCGGTAAAACGGATTCAATCGAAGCCGTCTTGGCAATCCCTTGTCGCACAATTTCTAGTCTTAAGAAAGAGACATCTGCGACTCTGGGTGGCCAGACTCCATCCTGCCCCCCAAAGGGATTGACCGGAACTCATCGGTGGTGTGCCAAACGAGACGAACGCGACGGATGGAATACGTGGCGGTCTTGATGACGTCACTGATAGTCACTGGTGGTATGATGTAGGGGCGATCGTAACTATAGCCCAGCCCGCCGAGGGGTATAGTCCACCAATTACGCCCAATGACGTCATCAAAACCGCTCCGCTACAGTCACTGTGTCCACTACCCTCATGGCAATCGCTCTGCTTCATACGAACAGTAGCATTTCAGCGTACGAAGATTACAACAGCCGGGATCGCCAGCTCCTTAGGTAGATGTCAGGAAAGGTAAAACAGGCAAATGCAAGAAACGCAAATCCCTTCCGAACCCAACTACAATAGCCCCAACTAATGGCCTCGGAATTTGGCACTCGTTGCTGTTGGTGAAAATCTGTGAAAAGAAAAGGCAAAAACCGATTGATTTCCTGAAGGTAGCAGCCGAGTGAGTGTTACTGAGAGGCAGAACGCCTAATCTTGCTGTCCTGACTTACCTCCCCTTACAATGAACAACTAGACATAACAGTTTCACAAGAATGCTGGGTTGTGAACAAAACTTTCGCCCCAGGCGGGACTAGAACCCGCACCTCTCGCTTTCCGGGCAAGTGCGCTACCAGTTACGCTACCGGGGCACCATTTCATCCCAACTCAGCTTTTCATGGTATACGTACCATGAAAAGCTAGACAAACAGCGTTGTAGGTGTTAATAAAACCAATAACAGAAATTGTAACAGAAGCAGCAGTTCCGGTCATAGCGCACATATCCTCAAGTTGTTCCTTTGAGGAGACGGTCGCGTTGACTCTGAGGTGGACAGCCTCACGCGTCATTCACGGAGGCACTCGATATAAGAGGAGATTGTGGACGAGTTAGGGCTCATCAAAGCTTCTCGATATAAGCGGCGCAGTGGAAATTAAATCAAGCGAGAGCAAATAACTTTTACACGCCAACCACGCGACCGTTGTAGGTCTCTTACCCAATACACTGTGTACCTCTCCCTTGTGCCCCATGAGACCTATCGCGACCACTTCCTTAGATACCGGCTAGGGGCTGGCTATTCGTTTATCAAAAACTGATGTAATAAGTCCAAATTACGAAAAACATTAGTTAACAAGGAAGCTTGTCAACATCCACGTGCAATCATCGTAAATGAGTAGTGAAATTTAACGTTAGGTCACAGACCTGTATGAAATTTATCAGAAACCTGAACTCCTTATAAACATTCATTCAACAATCTACAGGCCTGATCGAACAACACTGTTAGTTTAGCTCTTTGAGAGTCACCCGGAACAATGGGAAAGATTTCTAGAAGAAGTGAGGAAATTATTGTAGAGTTCGGGAAAGCTCGCTCGAGGTCAGTTCACATTTGGGACAATACCTGGCCTCACTGCATTGGTGGATTGTGACTTCTGAGATAAGTTAATCTAACAAAAAAAAAATTGAGATGCACATCATCGGCTCGCAACATTTGGTGTAAGTAGATTTGGGCAGTGACAGAGACGTAATTGCTAAATACAGTACTATAGAGAACGTTTAAACAAACATATTATGTCGATGAATCTTTCGATGAATCTCAAAACACACGTACAAACTTTGCGAGCAAAAGCAAAAATAGTATGATGTAGTAAGAATGAATCACAATAGGTTACAATGATCAATATATGGGATGAAAGGTATTAGGTCAAACACCGAGCAGTTACACAAAAAAAATTCCTGAGGGTAAGAACAAATTAAAGCAGGAAGATTAAAGAGCAACCGATTAATTGAGAGTTCCACGACAGTTCGGAGCACCACACAAACAGTCGACTTTGTCTTCTTCGATTGGGAATTTGTAATCGTACGTGATCTCATCGCCTTTGTTGATGAGTGTCTTGCTGTATATGACAATACGCTTGTCACCGTCGACCGTAACCACCTAAAAAGAGAAATACGAATGCATAACTTAATAAAGGTAGCAAATGCAGAAACCACCAACAGTTCTTGTACACACGTTACTTGAAACACACAAACACAGATCAACAGGCGGAGCCAAATCTATCGCTTAAAGACGCGCTTTTAGAATTCAAGATCCACTTCACCATTCTCTCCATACTTGGGATCAGTTTGAGCAACAAAACTTGCCGAAAGGACAAAAAAGGAGCATCGGCTTGCATAGCCTTCAATTAACTATTATGAAAGCGTTTGCATACGTTATTGTCACTGCAATAAAAGATAAAGGATAAAGCATTTGCCGTTGATCAATCCCTTTTTGGGATGCGGCACGCATTCTACTTCCATTTGTACATTCGCAGTGGCGTTTGAATGCGATGTGGCCTATACAATGACTTGCGGGGGCCAGCCGATGTACAAGTCAGTGTTTTTATCCTCCCAGACAAGTCTGGTACCAATTAACCGACCCCGGAGGGATGGAAGGCTTGGTTGGCCCGGGCGACTCACGACCCAGGATTTGATCCCCGGACCGCTCGCGTGGTGAGCGTGCCACTTGCCACTACACCACTTCCGCCCTAGTGAGCAATAACGCAAGCAAACGCTTTCATGATATGGTAACTAAGTAAAGTGGCATTCGCGGCGCAATCCCGACGATTGAACAACGCTGCCCGCCAATATGTATAAACATTCTGTTTATCTGTAAATGCCATGAAACTGAACCTGGAGAACATCTGCAGAGAACGCAACAAATTTGGGATAGTGTGGCAAGGGCAAAAATGTATCGCGTACACATGAGCTATGCAAGCCCTGCCCCGATGGGCTGGCCGTGCACCAAAATGGCGGCGGCGGTGTCAGAACTTCGTAATTCTATTCTGCAACAGCCCAAAGATAGAAAAATGTATTGAGGTGAGCAGCAGGTTGGTGGATACATTAGTCGAACTCATCCGTGAAGTAAGCGTGCCTCAAACGGGCGTTGTTTACTACAAAATTCAGCTGGTCTGCAGTGTACTGGAAACCGGTGAAAAATGATAAATCAAAGCATCGGGGTCCGACATAAGGGGTAGAAAGAGCGTGAACTGGGCTAACTATAAGCAAAAATCAAAAACCTTGCTTGCCCTTTGCCATATCGCTGCGATCTGTGTGATGCGGACCTATGTGCGGCAAGCGTTAGAGTGCGGCGATATGATAAAATAGCAGTTTCTTAAAACGACGTATAGGGTGATTACACCCATACACGTGGAATATATGGTAGGGTCGAAATGGCCACTAAGGTAGAGATGTGTCTCATGTGGGCCTTTTCGAATGCGTCCTCAAATCTACATGTATTCATATCTGCTGAAGCACTTAATGAACCAAGTTGCAGAATCTGTTGCGACATGGAGCAAACCCAAGCCCGTCACAACGAGACGCTTATTTTGCAAGGTTATGCAATGGTGACCTAGAAGTTACTATGCCGGCCTTGTGTCCGCAGGTAAAGGTTTAGATCCTTGAGGTGGGCGAGGTTTTGCATTCTTCAGAGATCTCTCTTACATTTGAAAACCATCTTCCCATAGTTGGGGAACCTATCCTGCCGAGAACAGCTATTTGCGAAAAGTGTTTTGAGCAATTGAGACATGGATACTTCTAGACGTCTACACACGCTGCGTCACTAGCACATCAAACATAGAAATTGACTCGGCCAAAAAACCGCGAGTTAATGGAGACTGGTGTCCTACAGGCAAATCTTATAAACGCTTCACATGAAAACATTTACTCGTATTCTTCATGAAAACCATTGGGTGTGTGGTGGCTGTATACAAACTAATGCTTCATCGATATGAGCAGGAAAAACAGATGTCACAAATGCCAGCGAATTTTAGCATGACGTCAGCACCTTCTGTTTTGTAAAATTCGCGCTTCTAGTTTTAGATGTGACTAGTGAGTTATTTCATAAAAACGGAACTATGAAAGGCAACGAGCAAAAAATGACAGACCTTTGCGTAGCAGTTGGGTTGACAGGAGTGATTTATAAAACGAGCAAAGTTTCCCCATACGAGTGGCATCGATCACCTGAAATATAAACGATCTTCGTGTATTTATATGAAAGAACATGCGGAGAAACAGCCAAATGAATGAACTGAACTTGTACCTGTGCGGTGTCAACTTCATACAATCTCACCTTCAACCTTGTAATACTTATAAACTTATGTCAGTTCAACAGGATATGTGAAAACGGGCCCATTAAGTCCATGTTTCTTCAGAAACATCACGTTTGGAAAACAGTATGCAAACAGTAAATGGAAAAAAGCTAACAAAATGCTACCGCTCGTAAAGTAGATTGCATTGTTTTAGCTTTTCTCATCACAAATATTTAATACTTATCTAACCATAAACCTCTCAAAGAGCATTTTTACACGAGAATCAATTAGCCAGCAACAGCTTACAAAACTCACAGTGGTATCATCAATGCGAAAGAGATAACTGCTACCAATTCCTCGTCGCTCATATGCTTTTTCTCGAACATCTGCCACCGTATTTCGCACCTTAAAAATACCACCCTTTCTTGTACGTGCTAAGATGTATGACAAAAGACAGCCGCTGCAACAAAAAACAGTCTAGTAATATAGGAAGCAAAGTTGCGGTAAAAGCCTGCTGATGAGCAAATATTGGGCGAAAAACCGCACCAATGATATAGAGCACAACACTTTGCTTTTAGCACTGACCTTCTGGCCCACGTATTCGACAATCATATCATCAGGTGCAATTGCCTCCATTGCGTACAATCCCCAGCCATGAATTCGTGACCGAGCAAATTTGATCATTTTCTTGCGATACTAAAACAAATGCTACACATAAAGGACTTTAGGCACATAAAGCAAAGGAGACCAATCTTGGATGAACCCTGTAGTCATACTTTGTCAAGAATTAGATGTGATTACGGAAGGAAACTTTCTGAGTTGAAAAGATTCAATTGGATTTGGGCAATGCTCACCTTCAACTGGTTGACCTTGAAGAAATCCGTATTCGTATCTCCCATTGTTGTCAGCAATCGACGATGCATCGAACGCGACTCTTTGGTGAGTACGAGGTTGTGACGCACAGCAGCTTCGTCCTGAATATTTAATTCAGTGAGATTATTCGTACCACGTCAAAAGACCAAATCATTCTCAGATAGGTTTGACGTACTCGGTCATTCAAAAGCGTCTTGTCACGTTGCTCATCCTCTGGTCTTCTAATCAAACTTCGTTTTTCCTTCATTGACATCTTGAAGTAGCCTCGTGTACGTGCACATCCACCCTCAATCGGTAGAATGCCATCAAGCTCCGTATCAGCAAAGTATTGATCCAAACGTCCTTTCTTGACCGGTTTATCCTAAAATTGCCCTGTGTTTAAAAAGGTCCGTAGCACAAGAACATTTATAAACTGGAGCGTTTGTGACAATGCGATAGAAGTATTAACCAACCAAAAGCCGTGGCTTATCCGACCATGACGTAAAGCTGAAACGAACGGGTTTCGCCCATGGCGTAGGAGCACCATTTTCGGTTGATGGTTGCAGTATCGAAAACGCTTCCTTTAGGTACTCTTGATCTTCCGGATCGAAGCAACACTGAAATCAATTACTCTAGCATTTCTTATCACAGTGAAGCTGCAAAACACATGAAAAGCCTTATAAATACTCACATCCCACTGGTGGATATGCTTTAGTTTGTCTTCTAGGGACCAAGGCGGATAAGAACTGTAAAATTGTTGGTAAATGTGAGAAAAAAAGTAGTACTCTCCGCAATGGAGAAAACATAATTACTAATGCACTGCGGTGTAAATAATTCAAGTTAAAACTTAAGTTGAAAAAAATTTCAAGTTATACGAACATCTGGGGTTTCGGCTTCGGCAGAACTTCAGCTGTTGAGAATAGTCCCAGGAGTTCCCTGTCGTGCTTATTGAGCCTGCCCTTCTTCACCACCGCCGGCCGTTTCTTTTGCTGAAAACGTAACAGCCTTGTAATAAATGATCACATTCAGAGCTTGGTGGATAATTGATGGAATTTCAGTGACAAAGGAAAAAATAAATATGAGCGTTGGCGAAATGAAATTAACCACATCGTATGGTAAAACGTAGTGTGCAAAAATTAACAGGTTCGAAAATGTTCTATACCTCTTGACTTGCTTCTTTTTCTGCCTTCTTCTCATCCCCTGGTAGCTTGAAATAGCAATGCTCAGTGAGGTGAGTGTGGTATAGCGGTCGTGGTAGAAACTCGGACCATTCCGTCGACTCGTCAGACAACTAAACCTCGCCACATAAATATGTAGTACAATATGGGTCGTGAACTGTGATCGTAAATTTATTTATCGCATCACTCACAATTTTTTGCCACAAAGGAACTTCTTCCTCAACTTTCTCAACCTCTTTAATTGGCGACGGAGCGGCAACCACGTATGGCTCTTCTGTAGCAGTTGACACATCCTGTTCTTCATCCTCACTGGGAGGAGAGCTTTCAGACGATGAAGCTATACTTGATGCCGTAGAAACCGCAGTCGAACATGAGGGCGAGGCTCGCTTTTGTACTAAAATAAGAGTGATTCCGATGCTTGTATGGCAAGGGTTCCATGTCGATTCCACACAAACAAGACAGAATTTCGAAATAAGCGCGTTTCCACTTACATGAGCTAACCGACTGTGACGATTTGCTTCGACACGGCTCAGCTTCATCAGAGGAAACTTCACTCGAAGAACCAGACCTAACAAAAAACTACATTACCAAAGTCGAGCGAAGAGTGGTGCTTTCAACCAACTCTGATTCAGTGGAATCGGTAGAACGTGATCTAATGGCGCGCTTCTTGTTCGTCTTGATGACAACTTCATCGGATGACTCAGTTTGTGGACTGCTTGATGAACTGAAAATCTTGACTATAAGCGCCGTACGTGAAAATTAAAAATAGTGGTGAACCCTTTACATGGAATGATGGCCAACTGCTTGCTACCGAAAGCGTAAAACGAAAAGTAACTGAGGTTCCGCATGATCTCATTTACTGACTGGCTGTCGAAGCAAACCCAGTTACCTTGGCGCCGAAATTGCCCACTACGAACCTCCTCCTCCTCTCAGCCTCCCTTCACTTTCTCCGGCCTTCAGGCTCTCACAGAACTCTATTGCAATCTTTTAATTTCAGCACTTCCCACTGCGACAATTCGACTGCTCTTCCCGGAACACTGTTTTGATCCAGTTTTCGGGTCGTCTCAGAATTAAATTGTGTTTCGAACGGAACTCCGATTACTCAAAAACACGCCGCGCCCATTGTAGATGAATTCCATCCACTTTCAACGCGTTTGAGAGACATTTCTCAGTAACACCATCCTCTTCTGCTTTCTAGTATGCTCTGTTATCAAGATATGAACTCTTTTTTAGCATTGCTTATGGAAAACCCCTCCCATACGTTTGTGGATGAATTTCCCCCACCTTATCAGCATGCCGCTCACTATTACCCATTTTTCCCAAGCCTCTGGGATGTTTTGCGACCGATTCAGGATTATTTCCGGAGCGTCGCAACTCAGTGCACCTCCTGCCCACGTTGGCCAGCCTCCCCTAGGCCACGTAGTTCGTGGCCAATGCTCCGCATAACCAATCGAAAACTTGATCGGCTCTCCAGGAGATTCTTCAATTGGATATCAAAGTTCGCGATAAACACAATAACGCTGCATACATACATAGGGAGGAGTCCCATAAAATCGCTTCCTACCTTTTCTGGGCAGCATCGGAACCATCGGAATCATCGGAGTTGTCAGACCCGACGCTGCGCCTTCGACTCACGGGACTTTGCGAGGAATCTGACTCCGGAGATGGTGGCCGTACTTTCTAAAAGTAATGATAAACAAATCAGGAGAAATTCGTACACTTCTGAATCATGGACACGACTAATAAGTATTGGGTTATTCGGAAAGTCTCCGCCGCTCTCAGTAACTCAGATTCATTTTTGCTCTATTCCTGAACTAGTTCCAGAAAACTGCTAACATTTTACATATCACCAAGAAGAACGCTTCTCATATGTGAGTGCACTGTTCTTTTTATAATGAATCACTTTCCCCTCATTTTTTTGGCCTTCAATATACAAAATACCCAGCAGGCTATTTTGTACGAGTTTCTTGTTCCACTCAAATTTGGCCTGAAAAGTGCGGAAGCAAGTTGCGATATAAATGAGCTCTTATCTTAGCTGCGAATCCACAAAGAAAAAAACGCTGTGTGGCCGTGATTCAAGATGTTCTTTTTTTTCGCGATGGTGGAAAGCTTCAAAGGAGATTAGGGGGGGGGGTCGGTTGTCGGAGACTAACAAAGATTAGCTGAGGGTTCCGATTGAACCAAATTTGCATGGAAGTGCCGAGAAGGTCGCCTTTGAGATAGGCAAAGAGAATCCGACAAACAGCGGCCGACTTGCTCATCTACTATCACAGCCCAATCTCGTGCTTCAACTGTGTACAAGTTGAACTAGCTGAGCTACGAAACTGTGTAGCAAAAATTTACGCTCTAGGACCAATGCCTACCTATGGTTGCTGTTCCACCATGTTTGAGCCTCCAAGCCCAACTTGATGGTGAAACGGCCTTCACCGAATTTTTTTCGCCTACAAAGCTCCAGTACTGTCAATATCTATATCTGTTGAATTCTCTGTTATTAAAGCCATAGGGATTGGAAGAAATTCTATTCCAATCAAAAATGCTTTGTTCGAACCGAAATATGCGCTTATTTCAGGTCAAAATTTTAACTTTCTGAACAACCCAACAGTAATTCCTACACCTAACTAACAATGCAAACAGCCATGAAAATCTGGAAGCTCAATAGCACGCAACTGACCAAATGTCGAATTCGAGAAACCGCTAAAATAATTCAAGAACTAATCTGAACATAAGAATGCAAAAAGCGAAAAAAAACCAAGTACACGGAGAACTGAAAAACGGAGACATCAACATAGTGTAAACAAGACATAGTGTAATATAATATACAGGGGGGGGGGCAAAAAAAAAAGACATTTTGCCTCCACTTCCAGATGGATTTAAGCACATTTTACTCAACTCAGACCGAACGGTTCCAACTTATTATTAAAGAGTGCATTCCATTCTATAAGAAAATCTTCATAGTGGCCACGTACGTGGACGGCATCAGAAGAATTAGCCCTGGAAACATGGTGCACTGGTCGATCTCAATGGGGTCTTCGAAGGATCGTGTACCATAACGACCCTTACTGGAAAGCTAGTTCCGAGGGGATTTGCACAGTGGTAGCTAATGCCTCTAGAAAACTATCCAACATTAAATCGATTCACGAAATTGCGTAAGAGCTTCAGGCTGAAGCTCTTACGGTAGACCTCCTTGAGCCTGACGACGGTGACAGATGACGTCATATTCTGAAGACGGTGAGGGCAGTGAAGGAGAGCCTGCGTACACTAATAGAGGAACACTTAGGGAATACTCTGCTGAGGAACTCCCGTCAACGACAGCAATCTCTGCGAAGAAAAAAGAGCCGAAGTCCGACATAGGCAAAATGTCTTTTTTTGCCCCCCCCCTGTATATTATCGCAGAAAAACTTGT